CTTCCAATTCAAATTGATTTAATTTATCACAAAAGACTATTGAAGACCAACACTGCTGTAATTATTTATGGAGAACTCCAATGAGGCTCCAGATGATGCCCTCTTGAAATATTGGATTTCTCAAATGGTTCAGGAAACATTGCTGCTACAAGACAGACTATCCAGCCCCATAGCTATGCCCTTCTGTTGTCTGTGTCAATGTCTACAGTGGATCTGGGAGAAAAAAAGCAAACATTAAAAAGACCTATTAGATAATGTATTAAGAACAAAAAAGCAAAACTGCACAGAGATTTGTCTGCATAGTTACACAAATGGTACGGCTATAAATGCATTTCTTGAAAAGCCTAGAGAGACAGCCCAGAAAATGAGCATCTTTGCTGGTACAGAAAAGCATTTTAATCTAGGAGTCATTGCATAAAATTTAAGAATAAATTAGACCAACTGTAATACTCAAGGTTTGAACTTGTCAAACTCATTAACTGCTTAGATATTGCTTTTCCATTTTACTGACTTACAAAGACAAAAGTGGTGGTTTTAATTAGTCCAAAACCACACAGGCATATTCAACAAAACTACTGTTGGAATTATTACTATTTTTTTTGTTGTTTTTACAGTTCACTAGCACTCAAAACAACAAACAACATGCTAAGCTTTTATCCTGTGTAAGAGGGATCTTTCTACCAGATACTGTCCCTTGTGGCTGTTGTTAGTGATGAAAGGCAGAGCTCAGCCTTTCTAGGAATCGCTGCATTCTTGAGAGTGCTCCAGAGGCATGGTCCCAGGCCAACTTCTGAGCACACTTCTTGACATCTAGCTCTTACCTCAGCTGAATCCACTGTGTAGCCTGCTCCCACACTCCCCAAGGCTTATTCATTCCCAGCTCCTTTCATTTCTCACAGCCTGGGACAGCCCCATTAGGCAGGGATTGAAGGGACAGCCACTCTGGGTGTCTTCACACGGGACTCATTGGTCCACAGGTCTGGGTTCAAAATACTTTCTTAGAGGAAGCATTACATAAATACTAAGTACAGTTTAGAGAAATACTGAGAAATGTGTCTACTTGTGAAACCATCAAGTAAAATCCAAATACCGTGACTCAGACAACCTGACTACAAATACTTCTGAGAGTATGCTTTTTGAAATTCCAAGTGCATTCAGCACATTCGGGAATTTTTTTTTTTAATTTTTGTTTATGTGAACTTCAGATTTCTCTATTTTTCTTCTGTCAGAAAACCCAAAATGAGAAAGAACACAGAAGGGAAAAACTGAGGGCACAATAGCCATCTGGACATTACCAACCCTCTGGAAATGTTTAGCTCTAGGATTATTTTTTGTCTGATCTATTTTGACAATCCCCATGTGCCACAAAACTAACTAAAACTTGAAAGGCCTCTCTTGAAGAAGGTAGAGCAATATAGGTACTAGCATTCAAGTTTGACTGAGGCAGCATGCTATTCTCTGCTGAATGTTCATTAATAATCCGAGTGGCTTAACACTTAACTCTGGAAGGCAAACTGTTTCCTATTTGCCACACTCTGTAATCCCTAAAATACTGTTACTAGCATCTCCTGCAAACCAGTTCACTTTTATCTACATAAGAGTTGACAAGATGTACACACTGTCAATATCCTACTGAAACTTCAGAATCAGATTTATGCAAAACTTCATGCTCTAGACTTCACTACTGTACTTATCTACTTATCTCTAAAATATCCCTTTCAA